ACCACAATACCCCAGTCTAGTGCTGGGAACACATGCTGCTGGAAGTGATTCTGCTCAGATACAAAGCTAAATATCTGATGACTTGTGGTTGTTAAAGATTTCCTGGTACCTTTCCTCTGAGTTAGAGCATTAACCTCAGTGTGCTGGCTGGATCCCAGCTGCAGCAATTCCATTCTGCTTCCCTAAATCACCCCTGCTATTCCACAATACCCCAGTCTAGTGCTGGGAACACATGCTGCTGGAAGTGATTCTGCTCAGATACAAAGCTAAATATCTGATGACTTGTGGTTGTTAAAGATTTCCTGGTACCTTTCCTCTGAGTTAGAGCATTAACCTCAGTGTGCTGGCTGGATCCCAGCTGCAGCAATTCCATTCTGCTTCCCTAAATCACCCCTGCTATTCCAACCACACAGTTATTCCCTTCCCTTCCCATTGGAAAATGTTGTGGCACACCACTGTGTATGGATAAATGGGTGCTGTCCCCCTCCCTGGAGGTGGCTAGCTTTCAGCACTGTGTGAATGATGGGGTTGAAAGAGGAAGCAGCAGGAGCAGTTGAATTTTGAAGAAACTAATATTCTGCTTACATGCAAACATTGCAAGCAATTTTATATATGTTTTTTAAAAAGTAAGAGAAATAGAGCCAGTCAGCTTGTCAATAGGATGTTTTATAGCTTCCCTGCAGGCACTGCATTGAGGGCTCTAGCTACAAGGCACTGGTTTAGCATCCTAGGTAAATGGGGTAGAAATCCTTTCTTCTCATGTGAGTAGATCACTGGATTGGGACTCTCAAGACGTGGATTCTTTTCCAAGCTCTGTTACTAGCCTGCTGGGTGCCCTAGGGCAAGTCACTGCACCTCTCTGCCTCGACTTCCCTGTCTATGAAAGGGGTTAATGATGCTTTCTGCTTTAAAAGCACTTTGGGACCTTAGAAATTCACTAAAGGCATGAGCATGGATAGGGGTTCCAGCATTTACGCAGTTAAGGCCTCTATGTGTCTTGCAGTTCTGGTTTGCTTTCGTCAGTCTCCGAAAGAAGATAACAAATGACTAGCAATGGAATTGTGCTGTAAGCAGGTCAGGAGAGAACCATGCTGTGAGCAGGGCCTTGGAGTCGGTTGTTATTACAGTGTAACCACTCCCTAAACCAATTGCAGTTTTGCCTGTGGAATACTTTAGTTTACAGTGCAGCTTATGGGCTTTCTGCTCCCCATTTCCTCAAAGGTACTTCAGTGTGAAGACGCATTCACTATTAAAGCCTTGAAAGCCTTCTGAGGGCTGCTTAGAACAGTACCAGGAAGAGAGATTCCACTGTGTGATCTGTGCCTCCCACCTTGGCATGGCCCAGTTGTAAGCCAGAAGGTGGAACACAGACCCAGAACGAGGCATACTTGAAAACCAGCTGTTAAAAGGAATGAAGCAGGATTAATTTATTTAGCACAAGCAGCATTTTCCTATCCTGTGTGCTGTGCTGACTCAGTGTTTGACATTCATAATTTTCAGGCTCGGTGTAGGACAGAGGTAAATTTGGATCTGTAACTAGATGCTGCCTCCCTATCCATTTCTGCCTTTCTCCAGCAACCATAATATGCCTGTTTGCCTCTGTTCCTCATCTGTCTCTTCTGGGGCCATTTTTGGCTTCCTTGTTTAATAAAGTTTGGCCTCATGTTTCTAGTGACCCATAGACGGGGAATTAATTAATGGAACAGTCAGGAAGATTTAATAAGATCCCACCGGGCCAGAACTGTCCTCCACCTGCTGGCCTCACTTGGATGAGTCAGGAGCAAAGAAATAAAAACATGTTTCAATTAACAAATCATTTGGAGGGAATAGATTTCTCTTTCCTAATAGCAGCTGCTCCCATCGCAGTGCCATAACACATTCCTTGCTCCTTTTAAAAATGCTCCTTTTGCCTAAAGCAACTTCCAAATCCCACACTGAGCCCTCGGGGAAGCTCCTCCCCTTTGCATTTAGGCTTTCTTCATCCAAATGTTTTCTCTGCTACATCAAATCTAATCTGGATCCTGGACTAGATTATAATCCACTAACCTCTGATCATTCTAAAATCTAATCTAGTTGATAAAATGTAATACATCTGTTTCTTCTAGACCAGGGGTGGCCAAAAAAAATGGCGGCTCCTGACGGAACCGAGATGGAACCCGTCTCAGGTCAGCCGCTCTTGCAGCTGGGCTGCTGTGACCCATGTCCGTGCTCACAGCCCGTGCTGTTCTGCTCACGGCCCCCAGCGCTCTGTGTCATATCTTGCATGTATAGGCCAGGTCGCACACAGCATCCCAGCCTACACGTGCTAGCGGCTGGCAGCTGAGCACAGGTAGTGGCTCCGGGTGCAGCTGTATTGGCGCCAGTGGCGACTCCAGGACCTTAGTATAAGGTTAGTGGGGGAGGGGGATTAGGGTAGAGTGGGAAAGGGAGGTGTCTGGCTCTGGGGAAGGGGAGAAGAGGTTGAGGAAGATTGGGTTGGGGGGGTGCGCATGGCGTGCCGGCCACTTAGCGCGTGCGCCCCAGTGCCTGGAGGGAGACGTGCAGCTGTAGCAGTGGTGGCTCTGGGACCCAGGAATTAGGTTAGAGTGTGTGTGTGTGTGCCTGGCTCTAGTCTGGTGGAGGGGAGGGAAAGGGAGGAAGATTGGGTTTGGGGGGGGGCTGGGGAGGGTGCGCACGGCATCCCAGCCAGCACATCTCAAGGCTGGCTGCTCTGCACATGTGCCCCAGCGCCTGGAGGGAGACACATGTAGTTGTACTGGTGGCTCCACCTCAGGGGGCCCAGAATTAGGGTAGAGCATGG